GTACACTGATCCATGGAATTCTGTACTCTTCGGCATGGGGCAGCGTGGTGTGGTGTGGTGCAGCTGCAGCGGGGGACCCTCAGCACCAAGAAGACCAGATGGAGGGGAGCTACAAGATGTCTTTGGGACCCTCAGATGGTGATATGCTTCCACCTAATCCCTATTACTCTCCCCACATCCCCCCTGCATACCTCTTTTTCCTTTTTCCTTTTTTTTTTTTTTTTTTCTTTTTTTTTTTTTTTTTTTCTTTTTTTTTTTTTTTTTTTCTTTTTTTTTTTTTTTTTGCTTTCTTTCTCTTTGCTTCTTTTACTATTAAATAAAATGCATATTTTTTGGCACCAACATCTAACCTCGTTTGGTTTTAATCTTGTTTTTGGGTATATTTTGAACCTTCTAAGTTCCTTCCAATTTATACACAGAGATTTAGAGATTTAGCTTAAATCGGATCTTACAAGAGACTGTTCAAGTACTGAAAGGTCAGCCTTCTTTTCTCCAGGCTGAACACCCCAGCTCTCTCAGCCTTTCCTCACAGGAAAGATGCTCCAGCCCTCTGATGATCATCATGGCCTTTCTCTGGACCAGTTCCAAGAGGTCTGTGTCCTTGCTGTGCTGGGACCCCACAGCTGCTGCAGCCCTGCAGGTGGGTCTCAGCAGAGCAGAGCACAGGGACAGAATCCCCTCCCTCCCCTGCTGCCCACGGGGCTCTGGATGTAGCCCAGGACATGTCTGGCTCTCTGGGCTGTGAGTACCCATGGCTGGGTCCTGTCCAGCCTCTCACCCACCTCATCACCGAGTCCTCAGCAAGAGTGCCCATGGCTGGGTCATGTCCAGCCTCTCACCCACCAGCATCACCGAGTCCTTCTCAGCAGGGCTGCTCTCAAACTGTTCATCCCCAATCTTTTATCAACAGGGGTAAACCCATTAAATATGTTCAAACTGTTTTGTAAACACAAATCAAGCTAATATGAACCCATCTAGTATTCATTAAGCCTTCCAAAAAGATCTTAAAATAGGCAATTTTCTATTGGACTGGCAAACGCATGCAAAGCTCTGTATACCAATAATATAGTAAAGGGGATAAGAAGGGGAAGAAACTTTCTTAATCACTGCTTATTAAAAATACATTCAAATTACAAGCCCAAGGAAGTTAACAGAATATAATTCTAAAATATTATCTTTCTGGTAAGTAGAATATAGAAAATACATGTCTTAAATGAAAGAAGTTTCCAATATGAAGAAAAAATAGCATTTTTTCAGTTATGTATTTCACTATATACTCCTCTTCCTCTGTAGGCTATGGCCTAGAAACATGCAGTTTGTCATTATTTATAGGAACAAGAAAAAATGCATTGTTTTCTTTTTATTAGACAGACATCAATAATCTCAGATAATTTTCTTCACTGACTAAAATACTGCCATTTTCCTCAGTTTCTGCTGTGACTTCTGAAGATTAGACAGGAAGATACTAACTACTTTTTCTGCTTTATTTTTAAGGCAAGAAGTATGTATGTGTCTGCTTTTGTCAGCTTGTCTATAACAGAAATATTTGGCCATCAGCATCACGAAGTGCCAAGAAATAAAAGATTAAACTGGATTTTCAAGCACAACTGGAGAAGAACTTGATATATTGCAGCAATCTGACAAGTCAGTGTCAAGGAACAGCTCCAAAATGGAAATTTTTCCTAAGAGGCAAAATATTAACTCCAGTCACTGCATCCCCTTTGTCCATCATTGCTTTGGTTAAGAAAGGAGTAGAGCAGATACAATGCAAGTATGGATATTGCACAGGACACTTGTTGATGACAACAAAAAAAAAGGAAGAAAAGAAGAAAATAAGGGAAGAAAGATAAAGGATTTGCTAGATTTTGTCCTCCAAAGAACAAGGGCCTGTCAGACTCAAATACCCTGAGGAAAACTGGGTGGCTACTCCAGTTAAAGAACTGGCAGACCAGGTTAGTTAATTGAGGTGTCTGTTCAGGCACCTCTCTCTGCCACAAAGACATTTATTTGGAAGATGAATGTTAGTGACCTGTCCTGTAATGTGTTTAGTTTGAGACTTCAGGTTTTTTTCAGTGTAAACTTTGTCCTTTAAATTCAGGTTATTACTGTGCAATATAAAGTCTTTGAATTTAAGAGAATGTATTTTACAGGTAGTGAAATTCTGCCAACATTATCTTTTAGGTAGTAATTCCCTTTTAGCATCTGCTGATAGCAGTGCTTCCAGTGACAAAAAAGGCTTTTGTCACAGCTATTGCATTTGCAAATACTTGTGGAAAATAGAAATCTGTTCTGTTACAGAAATCCTCACTAATGAAGTAATTTTTTTTTTTTTACTTACAGCTATTCAGTGTTGCTTTGTTCTTGTTTTTGCATTTCCACAATCTCACAATGCTACCAAAGATTGCTTCCAAATGGGGTGCACTGATGACTGAGTAGCAGGTGGTGCAGTCTCTGCTGTGTTTCACAGATACCACTGATTATGGATCTGTTTGGCCTCTTCATGCATACGTAACTTACACTATGAAATCTTAGTTGCATTTTATCAGCTCATACTTCACTACCAAGGAAATGCTTCTTTACCTTTTGTATTACTCATGTATTAGGGTCAGCTATTTCACCCTGTGTGACTGTCTCAGAATTTTAGCAGATAACTCTGATCCCTGACTGGGTAAATGTTTAATTTTTGCAATATTTTCACTTTATGGGAAAACACAATTCCTGTTAAAACTCAGGCTATGAAACTATGTCATTTAGGGAGCATATTTGTTTCTATTGAACACAACTGCCAGGAAATAATACATAACACTAACTGGTTTGCTTTTATGGCAATTATGTCTTCAACTTAAATGGCTATTGATAGGACATTCAACACTTGTAGTCAAGTGTAGCTGAAACAAGATACTTGGGAATCAGACATGCTTGTATTTTGTTTTCACCTTTTCAGTCAGGAATCTGTAAGTATCTGAATTTACCATTTATATGGTTGGCTCCAGTATTAGTAAAGGCAGCTAGTGACAGGTGCATTTAATTTATCCTCATTACAACAAATGGCTTTTGATGTTCAGGAAATGTGTGCATCCATCTATCACATTTTGACATATAAATGATCACTTGAAAATTAATATTTCTCGCTTCTGGCTTGCTGTCACATAAATATTTTAATATTTATTATTCTGATGAAGTGTACATTGTTCTCTACTTCCAGTGAGTGAATGTGTTCCACTGCATATAGAGCTCAAATTGATCAAAAATCTTAGTATTTGATTCGTGTATTTATCTGAGCTGAAAAGTGAAAATAAGGACAGATGACTGTAATTTTTCTGTGCTCTATCCTAGCTTATGATGGACTTCCAATCTGAAATTGAAGTTAATGTATTTTGTTCATATGATTAGGAGTCATGCTTGAAATGCAGTTCTATCCCAGTTTTCCTTCATGTATCTCAGAACTCTAAAATACCTGCAAATAGTTTTACATTAAGGGCTGCTGTCTCGCAGCATGGACCAGCAGTCACTCCACAGCTGTTCACTTGATGACAATAGGATAAGTTCCAGGATGAAGATGCAGCACATGAGCTCATTCAGTTACTCCAGCACAGCTCCTTGAATCCATCCAGCCAGCTGAGAGTGCATGTGGCACAAACAGAAGCCTTTGTTCTCTAAGGTGTAGATATGGAGTGCAAGTGCAACCTGTTTGGTTTGAATTATGTTTGGATTTTTTTTTTTTTAGTTATTTTTGAGACTGCATGATTTTGCACGTCCCTACACATCCTGGCAGTATGAACATGTGGTTTAGTGTGAACAGCCCCCTGCTGCTGTTCTTCTAGAATTGCTGAAATCTGCCATCCATATAAATTGCTCAGTGCAAGAGAGTGCTCTCTCTTTAATACAGTATTTAAAGCATATTAGTTTAATTCCTGCTAACAGAGCACTTCCCTAGATTTTTTGATATTCATGTACCTTAGGACAGTGAAGACACTCATCCCTTTAGGAATGACAGGACTGCTATGTTTTGGTGTTCTCTGCTATTGCACACAGGTAAGCCAATACCTACAGTGCATCCAAATTAATCTGTGTGTAGTAAGGATAATGTTTTTCTCCAAATACAGCTCCTATACTCATATGCCTGCTCTGGATCATGCCTTTGGATTCTTGGTTCCTGTTGCATTCATTCACCATTCAATGACACACTTCTCCTTCTCTATACATTTTCATGAATTTACCAAAGGACTCTCTTGGTCCATTACTACCCAAATTCCATGGGATCAATCCAGCAGTGAACTACATTAGCAAATTCATTACTGCACAATCCTAAGTCATTTTACACGGAACTCCTGCTGTCTGCACTACCTATCACTTTTATGCAGCCTTTTGAAACCAAATCCTTCTAACCTAAAAAGGAGTACGAATTTTATACTGATATCCTGAAATTAAACCTCCTTTAAATGATTTTGCCCTAAAAATTTACTGTCTTGCTTTATTTGGCACATGTCTAGAACGTGAATCTGATTGAACATTTGCAGTTTTCTTAGCTAAGTGCTCTGCTGGCACTTCTGAAATATTTTACACAGCTACAGCTGAAATCTTAATTAGATTGAACAAAAGAGAAAGGAGGAGCCAATATATGTAAACAGAACACTGACCATTGCCTGCACGTTTTCCAAGGGGTGCGAAACACCCTTTGGTTAATGCAAACATTTCTAGAAAAAATAGCGAAACAAACGCCGAAATAGGAAAGACACAAGCTAGAAAAATATCTGGAAGACCCGCAAAGACTGTGATGAAGAGTAACACACGGAAAACGCGTCTGAGAATACAGCATTCTTCTGCTTCCAGAATTTAACACAGCACAACAGCCATATGCCAGCAGAGGCAATAAACCCGTCGGTAGTCCCAGCAGAGCAGCAATCCCCGGCAGCACCGTGCCTCCCTCCCTCCCTCACACCGCCGCCCCGGCAGCGCTTCCTCATCGTCACAGCCGCCGCCGCCGCCTCCCGTCCCGTCCCTTCCGGGCCGCCGCGGCCCATGGCGGGCTGGGCTGAGCGGAGCTGAGCGGAGCTGAGCGGAGCTGGGCTGAGCTGCTGCCAGCGCCATGGCCCTGGCCGGCAGGGCGGCGCTGCGCTGGGGGGCACGGCTGCCGAGCCCCGGCGCCGCCGCCCCGCTCTGCCGAGCGGCCTGGCTGCCCGCGGCGTGCGGGCGGCCCTACAGCTCCCGCGGCAAGGTGAGTCCGCGGGCAGCCCCTGCGCCTGGCCCAGCCGCCTGCTGCTGCCCTGGGGCATGCGGCATTGCCTGGCAGCCACGCTGGGTTACAGGAGTGAGAAGGATGCGTTTCTCCTCAGATCACTGAAACGTGTCAAGCCCTGCCTTGCTAAGGTGTAGGGCTTGACACGTTTCAGTGATCTCAGTTCCAGGCACAGGTTAACAGAGCTTGGAGAGAAGGATATGCTTAGTAGTGGGCACAAAGAATGCAGAATTCACGGGCCAGAAGGACAGAGCTGCCAGGAAAAGGAAAGAACTAACAAATCCAACTCAGAGGTGTGCAGAAATCGGCTCTGGCTGGGTAAAAAAGCACTTCTGGCTGGGAGAGACCACAGACCCAAGAAACTCCCTGACTCAAGAGAAAGAGACCATGCTGGCTAATGAGTATAACAAATGAGGGAATCATTTAACCAATAGAACATGAATTAAAAGACAACTATGTAACTTTTAGGCAGTGGATATTAATGCCTTTGTTTTCTAAAATCTATAAGTAGTATAAAGTTTTGATAGTTGTTTGCTGGCTTTGTGGATTTTCCAAGTGCCCCTTTCTGCACAGAACTGTAAATAAATAAAATACTTTGGCTTTTGTGTGTGGATTGGCTTCTTCCACACTGCAGCATCCTTTTTCACTGTCTGCTTGCTCCTTATGATAAGGTCAGGACTGGCTGAGTCTCTAGGTAATGGCTCTGTATTCATACAGTGCTTGTGAAGAATGATATCTTTAATGGCCCCCTGAATCCAGTTTTCTTAATCCTTTAGTAGTTTCACCAACGTGAAACTGTAAAACAGAGTTTTCCAGCTCCCTATGTACATGAGAAGTTAGTACCTTTTGCACACATTCCAGCATAGTTCATGGTTGTTTAATGATAAAAGAATACATGTGTCTATATGACTAAAGTGAAATGCTGACATTTTAAACAATGATGACAATTCAAGCTTTTGTATCTCTGTTCAACCTGTGCTTCTAGAGAAAAATTATTTAAAAAATTAATTTGTTTTTTTAAAGGCCAAGTCATATGCTATATAGAGACTGTAACCTTGATTTATGAAAAGAAATTCCTGTTTTTCAGGAAAAAATAGATATGTCAACGTATCCTGTTGAAAGCATTAGAAACTTCAGTATTATAGCTCATGTAGATCATGGCAAAAGTACACTAGCAGACAGATTGCTGGAAATTACAGGTAAGCATTCTCATTTTATATTACCTTTTCTTGACATGGAAGGTAGCATCTTAAGTTTCTGTACCATTGATTATTACTAAAATTTCTAATATTTTTACAAAAGTATTGCTAATATTTTTGCTCTTAGTGTTGCTTGTGCTTTTAAGCTCTCAGTTGTGTAGTGTTGCAGATATATGGACTTTGTTGTTGACATCTGCCTATACGTAGGCATAAGAAAGTGTGTAATTCATTTAAAGAAGTCCATATATTTGAAAGACACTGAAAAGGATTTTCAAGATGTTCCTTGTTTCAACATCTTCCATGTTCAGTATGTCACTCCTGTCATTATAACCAGTCATCCATTAGAACAGTACATGTTAAATTTGTGATGTTTGCTGCTGGTGGTTGAGGTGGGACAGAAGGGGTGGGACTGTCAAGACCTGGGAGTTCTGGACTCTTATTCAAGGAGGAATGAAACAAAACGAGGGAGAGAAACTTCTGATCAAAGTTATTTTTTGTGATTACCTCCCATGTATCACTATGAGCTTTTTTGCCTGATGCCTGTGGTAGAATGGGATTTTTAATTCAGGTCTTTCACTCTAGGCTAATGCTCATCTGGGACTTGAGATTGATCTTAGAGCTGTGGGCCACTCCTCTTCAGTGATAGGAGGGGAAGTTTCCTTAAGTATCAAAATTATTTACAATTCAAGGGAATTTTTGCTTCTTCGTAATCTCTTAGGTGAAGCATTTTATCCTGCTTATTCAGGATAGTATTTTATGTAACTTTATTGTATAAACTTCATTTAACAAATGTAAAGAGTTGATGCACTGTTTTGTTTTTGATTGAAAATCTTTGTTTAGCTTAATTGTATGGGAAAACTTCATTTGCTCTTGGTTAACTTTTGGTTAATGGCATTTTCAAGATTTATGTAGTAAGTTAGGTAATAAAGCTTTTTTTTTTTTCTTTCTTCTTTTTAGGAGCAATTTCTAAAACTGACCGTAATAAACAAGTGCTGGATAAACTTCAAGTGGAACGTGAAAGAGGAATTACAGTTAAAGCCCAATCTGCATCTCTCTTTTACAATCATGAAGGAATAAACTACCTCTTAAATCTTATTGACACGCCAGTAAGTTAAATATAAACAGTGTTGAAATCACACAAATCTAAATGTCTTTATAGTTAAAAGTAGGAGATTTCTGGCTTTCTGTGTTTATTCAATTCCTCTTTTATAAGAATGTGAACTTATATACAAATGAAAACAACATAGTACAGAAATCTTTGCAGAAATACCTGAAATTGTAAACATTTGTTTTCTCCATAGGGCCACGTAGATTTCAGCTATGAAGTATCACGGTCACTATCTGCCTGTCAAGGTGTCATACTTGTAGTGGATGCAAATGAGGTGTAGTACTTAATTCTTGTTTTCTATTTAGTATTTTAGGATTTCCTTAAGCTAGAGGGAAACTAAGTTGTGGGTGTTTTTAGTTTTTTCTGGCAGTGTTTTTGCCCCAGTCTATGTCCATGAAAGGATTACACTGCAGAAAAAGAGTAATGGGATTTTAGAGCAGTTGCATATAATCAGTCACCTTTTATTTATCCATCTCCTAAATGAAGGAGTTGAGAGAATAGCAAACTAATCCTAAATTGTATAGTATGCCTAAAAATACTCCCCAAAGTCACACGAAAACTGAGAAGGTTTCTGTGTTAAACTTTACAGTGTTATTTTCTAGGGTATTCAGGCTCAGACAGTGGCAAACTTCTATCTCGCCTTTGAAGCACAGCTTTCAATAATTCCTGTCATAAATAAGGTAACGTTTTTAGCATTTTCTATTAAATACTTGGGTTGTTTAACTGTGTATAGTGCTGATCAGAAATGCAACCTCGAAGAGAAGTACATAACAAAGTTATTTATCAAAACGTTTGCAGGATTTAGATATAACATCACTAGGAATTTTCTGTATTTGCCGTTTGTGTAAAATTTTACAGTAACTGCTGTGAAATTTTTAAGTGAATAAAATACATTTAGATATTTTAAAAATGTAGCACTTAAAGACATGCTTATTGGTGGACTTTGCAGTACTGGGTTTGTGGTTGGAATTGGTGATGTTAAAAGTTCATTGATATTGAAGAAATTACATGACTAGGAGCTCAATATTTAAAAAATGGAGTCTTAATTTTAAATGAAATTCCAAGTGTTATTTTCTATACAGTTATTTTCTATACAGAGGGCTGTGTTATTGGAATCACAAGATTAATTACTGCTCAGCTTATGTTAAATGCTTTTTGTAGATTTATGTTGTACTTAGTTTAATATGTGATCCTATAAACAGTGTAGGTAGCACTTAATGATATCAAATTATTTTGTAAACTAAAGATTTTTACCAGCTCTTGGAGAAAGGTGTTTTCCCTAATGAAACAAGCCAAAACTAGACTGGTTGTGGACAGGATCCTCCCCAAAATCAAGGAAGACTTTGTAAAATGAATATTGATCTTTTCCTAAAGATTGACAATATTTACTCATAAATACATAAAGGTTCTTTGCTGTACTTTTGAAAGCTACAGTACTGGATGATGTGGGAGGTGTGATTTCTTGTATATTTAGCAGTTTGTTGTTTTACAGATTGACTTGAAAAATGCAGACCCTGAAAGAGTTGAAAAACAAATTGAGAAATTGTTTGATATCCCTACAGATGAATGTATAAGGGTAAGATTTCTAAGTTTTATAACATGGCTGATAATATAAATTTGTAACATGTTGTACACTTTGTGCATGTTGTAAATTAAGGGAGTGCTGTCTGCCTCTTCTTGTCTGAGAAAGACAGAGAAAGAAATAAGAATTTCTTTAAATTTTGTTTCCTATAAGAGTGAAGAAAATAACTGTCAGCTAAAAATTCTAGTATTTTTTGAGTAATGGAATCCAGGATTTTAAATTATTTCTCACTGTCAATCCATAAATGGTTTTCATTTCTGTCATAAAAATAATTGCTATTCACAAAAGAAAAAACAGTATTTTTTATTAAGAGCATTCTAAAGTATCCTTTTTAGTGCTTTTATGGGTGCCACCCACACTGTGTAACTAAGTAAACATGACACTATTTAACTAATAAGTGTAAGATATGTCTTATAAAGTTGTTGTTGGATTTGTTTTAGATTTCTGCTAAACAAGGAACGAATGTTGAAAAAGTTCTTCAAAAGGTCATTGAGAAGATCCCACCGTAAGTGTATTTAATTATGTATCTAATTAACCATATAAAGTAATTAGAAAATCATGAGTTGCATTTATATGGTATTGGCAGTAGTTTTACACTGAATATGCATCTCATTTAAAGAAAATATTTTATAGAGAGATGTAGAAGAACCAGAAGGAAAATAGTGTCTTGTGCTTAAACAGGAGAGGTGAATTAATCACCAGTGAGGCTGAAAAGCTAAGGGACATTTTCTTCAGCTCTGTCTTTACCAGCACTGTTGGGCTTTAGGCCTGTGGAGCAAAAATGCAGGTTGATGCACAGACCCACTGTCAGCAAAGAAGGAGTTGGTATGTGAACTATTATAGGGGCCTGACCCCTGTGCATCCATTGGCCCTGACAGAATCCACCTGAGGATTGTAGGAGAGTTGGCTGTGTCTGTGCAAAGCTGCTCTTTCTAATCTTTGAGAAGTCGTGGAGATCAGGGGACATCCCAGAAGACTGGTACAATGCTAATGTCCAATTTTCAAGAAGAGCTTAAAGGAGGATCCAGGAATTTAGAGGCCCATCAGTCTTACTGCAGTCCCTGGAAATGGTATGGGACAAATCCTCCTGGGGGCTGTGACAAGTCAGATGAAGGAAGTGAGTGGGAAAATTGAGCAGGGATTTGCCTAGGGCGTATTGTGCTTGGCAATCCTGATCACCTTCTACAGCACAGTAACCTGCTGTGTAGTGTGAGTGACACTGGCAGCCTGGGTTTCTCTCTACTTGGATCTTTAAGATTTTTGATAAGGTTTCTCACAGACTCCTGGAGAAACCACTGTGTTACAGTCTGGAGTGTCATGGGAACTGACAGGCTGCACCCAGATGGTGCTGGTAGATATCTCCTTTTCAGACTGGCCACACACAGGATCTGCCAGGGTTCACGTTGGGTTCAGTGCTGTTTCTCAGCATTGTAAGTGATCTGGAAGTTGGGATGTGTACCCTAGTGAAGTTTGCCAGTGATACCAAACTGAGAGGGGAAGTAGACACTTCAGAAAGGGGAGCAACTTTGCAGGAAGACCTAGATAGGCTAGAAAACTGGGCTAAAAAGAATCTTATGAAATTCAATAGAGGCAAAAGTCGTGCACCTGGGAGTACATAATTCAGGAGCACAGCACAGGCTGGAATCTACCTAGCTGGGGAGCAGCTCTGTGGAAGTGGACCCGGAGGTCTTTGGGGACAGCAAAGTCAAAATTAGTGAACAGTGTGCTGCTGCAGCAAAGAAAGACAACAGCATGCTGGGTTACCTCAGGACATCAAGGACAGGGATGTCAACAGCAGAGGTGAAGTCCTTCATCCACTCTGCTCAGTGGTGGTCAGTCCACACCTGGAATACTGTGTTCGGTTCTGGTCCTTCTGTGCAGAAAATGTGGACAGGCTGAAGAGGGGCCACAGAAGGGTCACAGAGATGATGGAAAGACTGGGCAGCCTGCCCTTTGAGGACAGGCTGAGAAAAATGGACTTGTTCAGCCATGAGAAAAGAAGGCTTAAGGAAGACCTTTTGCTGTGTTCTGGTATTTAAACAGTAGCTACAAAGAGCTATTGGAGTAATCTCTCCAGGAAAGTGGTGGATTCCCCACCCTTGGACACTCTGGTTTGTTTGGGCAGGGTGCTGGGCCATCTTGTTAAGCCCATGTTTTTGTCAGGAAAAGTTGGATCAGGTGATACTGGAAATCCCTTCCAACCTGGTAGGATTCTTCGAAAGTGTTTGGGGTGGGCATGCTTACTCGTTCAATATTGAATGAAAACACACTGCATAATATATTGTTCTCATTCTTTTGGTGACAGACCCCAATGTAATACTGCTGATCCATTGAAAGCCTTAGTATTTGACTCTACCTTTGACCACTACCGAGGTGTCATAGCTAACATTGCGCTCTTTGGTGGGGAGATTGCAAAAGGACAGAAAATTGTGTCTGCACACAGTAAGAAAAGATATGAAGTAAATGAAGTTGGAATTATGACTCCAAATGAACAGCCAACACATAAGCTGTAAGTAAAAACTTCTTAGAGTGGAGCAGGTCATCTATTGGGGTAAGCTATAATGTCCTGCATTTCTGATTTTTGCTTTGAGAGGTAAAAACTCAGAGATGTCTAGGTTTTTTGTTCTTATTCTGTGGTGGTGGGTTTTTTAATAATTACTGATTGCAATTTAATGCACTCTATCATTTTTTTATTTTGGGCACGCTGAGGCAGAAGGTTTTAGGGAGTGCTTTATGGGCATTGCTGTGGGAGGAATCCATTATCTTCTGTAGTACATGGAACATCTGGACAGCTAGGTGTTTAAAGGCTAGTGTTCAATATTCTTATTCAGCTGTCCAATTTATTTCTAGGAACTGCCTTGTTTGAAAGTGGAAGGGAATGGGGCTTCATCTTAGTTATTGCTGCAGCATATTTTGAGGGTGGAAAACTTAAAATCCATGAATGCAACAGCTTCCAGAAACTGGCTTCTCAATGGCAGCAGTGGGAAGAAAATCAGGTACTTAGCATTAGTGGAGAAGTTTTACCAGTTTGCAACCAAATACATGTTACTAACTTTACTGGGGGCATTCTCAGGTTACATTACTGTGTCTGGTGGTTGAACCCAGCCAGCAACCCAGCCAGCCCCCTGCTCACTCCCCAGCCCTTGCAGGATGAGAACTAAGGAGGTACTTGGGGATTGAGATAAAGACAGTTTAAGAAATGAAGGGGGAAAAAAAATAAAAACAAGTGATACAAAGACAGTCCATTATTCACCACCTTCCAAAAGCAGACTGATATCCTGCTAGTCTTCAAATAAAAGCCTTGGAAAGATGACACTTATTTTGTATTGCTAAGCAATGATGTTCTGTGGTATGGAATGCCCTTTTGGCCAGTTTGGGTCTGTTGTCCTGGCTGTGTCACCTCCCAGTCTCTAGCACACCCCCAGTCTGTTTGCTTGTAGGGACACAGAGAGAAACCCAGAGAGCCTGTTCAGCAATACCTAAACATTGGTGTGTTATCAACACTTGTTCCAGTCACAATTCCAAACACAGCTCCATACTAGGCTGCTTTGAAGAAAGTTACTCTATCCTAGCCAAAACCAGTACACTGTGTTTTACTCAGTATTTACCACGTATTCCCCTCCTATTAGCATAATGTGCTGATGGAAAGTGTTTAGTTTCATCTCACTGGTTTATGAAACTTCCTCTGCTGGCAGCTAGGAACTGTTCTGGGTTCTTTGTCTTAGGAGCTTTTCAAGGGTCTAGCTCCAGCTTTTAAACTGAGAGCAAGACAGTATTCAAAATCCATAAATGTACTGTTCATCTGTAACAGAAAAAAAACTAGTTGAGACTGTTCACAACTCAGAGGTGAAACAACTTAGATCTCCCTTCTGGACTTTGGATATGGGCTTTTAAGGGGGTGATTTATTTAAATTTCTGGCTGGGCTAAATCAAGCAGGAAAAATAGTAGAAATGCTGCTAATGCCAACAATCATATCCATATAATAACAATTTTATTTAGCTATGCAGGACAGGTGGGTTACCTGATTGCTGGAATGAAAGAAGTAACGGAAGCCCAAATAGGAGACACACTGTTTTTGTATAAACAGCCAGTGGAGCCTTTGCCTGGCTTTAAGTCAGCGAAGCCAATGGTTTTTGCAGGTGAGGAGTAAATCAATATAAAGTGGAGTTACTTTTTTCCATTGACAGTAAGAGCTGTTAGAGCTTTTAAAAGAAGATATGTATATTAAGAGTTGGGAGGATTAGAATTTTAGCCGAGGTGCACCACTTACGTGGATTTGTGTGTTTTCCCTGTGACTTAACAGGATTAGTAATAAATGCTGACTGGTTTTGCATGAATAAACACAAACATGATTATTGTTTCTAATGCCAGTAAACTCTTAATAGCTGGAAAAGAAGGCTTGAATTTTTAAAAAAAAGAGGGAATTATTCATCGTGATAATCAGATTTCTGTAATTATTGTGTTGGTTTTTCTTCTTTTAAAATTTAGCACCTGCTTCATTTTTGTTAAACATGGTAAACTGCCAGAGCTAATATGCAATGATCCTGTAAAATATTTGACTTTTTGAGCTTGAATAGTTCCATTGAGCTGCTGCAACTAGCCTCAGTAACTACTACAAATGCTACAGAAGGTGGCTTTAGAAAAAATCCTGTAAATAATTTTCTAGACCTGTTGTGAAGCAATGTGTAAAACTCACTTGAACTGTCTCATGGAGACTAGGCAGTCTCTCAGTGACTGTTGAAAAGTCTAATCTTGTAAGTAATGTTTTTGTGTGCATGTGTGTTGCTTTTTGATGTAGATGACATTTTCTGAGCATACAAGGATGTGAGAAGTGATCCAGTAGAATCTATTTCAGACAACTGTTTTTATTAATTATGAAAGAATAGAGAAATATTTGGAACTTTGAAATGATGCTTTTTATTTTTCACTCACTCTTAGCTTTGAGGGAACATCTCAGTGGAGTCTATACATTTACACTGCAAAACAGTGGTTATACTCAACTGTGAATCTTCCACAAATGTGAAGGATTAGATGAGTACAGTGACCCTACCATTATGGTTTAGATGTTAATTCTGAGGTAATCTAAAACATTTTTATGTTTTGACTAATATTTTTTTGAGGAATAAAGAATCCTCATGTTGTTTTTCACATTTAAAAACTGATGGAGCAGAAAGTAACTATTCCTGATTTTATTACTCTGTTAACTGTAAGTGGCATATTTGAAAGCCAGGTACACAATAGCTAAAGCTCTCTGTCACATCACTTCTGTTTAATATATTTTGACAGGAATGTATCCAATAGATCAAACAGAATATAATAATCTCAAAAGTGCTTTGGAAAGGCTGACGTTGAATGACTCCAGTGTAACTGTTCATCGTGACAGTAGCCTTGCTTTAGGAGCTGGATGGAGGTAAGGTTTTTGTGCTGCTTTCATATCTGAAACCACTCATAAGTTGAGAATGCATATTTAAGTGAACTGAAGGTAGAATTAAACTTAATTCAAAATTAGAAACTGTAATTCAAATTAATGATAAAGATAAATTATTTCATTTTATTTTCTTATATTCTCTGTTTGCACAGAGAATGAAAATTCTTGTGATTAATAGTTTTTCTTCTCCAAGCCTTATTCAACTTTAGGATTATTTGGACCCTTGAAGGTTGTATACTCTGCTAATATTGCCATACTAGCACTGTAAGCATGCTGGAGGGTGAAAAAGACCACTGTGAGATTCCAGGGGATACACAAATGCTTTTACCAACAGGGTATTTATTTTCCAGATTGGGTTTCCTTGGTCTTCTACATATGGAAGTCTTCAATCAGCGTTTGGAGCAAGAGTATAACATGTCTGTTATTTTGACTGCACCTACAGTTCCATATAAAGCTGTTCTTTCCTCAGCAAAGTTGATAAAGGTATGCTAAATTCATTAAAAATTATGGAAATATAATAAACATCTAGAGTCTCTTTTTAAATCTAGGCTAGTACTGTATTTTATAGTAAGCATTAGAAACACTAATTTAAGTATTACTTAAATAGTTTTTAATTTTCTTAAGGATATTAACTGCTCTTTCCCCTTTCATTTCAAGCACTCTCTTTTTATGTCTTATACTTTCCCTTGAAAATGGATGTATAGGACACATATCTTGCTGTATTCTTTTAAGTATTTACTGACTGGACTGCATTAAAAGCAGGTGAAATAATCTTCCAGGTTATATCCATCAGAAAACATGAACATTTCTAGGAATAGCTTGTGATGATACTCTACATTGGCTGGGGCTGGTGAAAGAAAGTGAGATTTTTTGGTCACAGTTAAATGGGTATGTGCTAACTTCATTAAACTGAGTGCAAATAGAATTATAGAATGTGTTTGAGTTTTAGAGAGATAAAGAGGTAGACTTCGAGCACCTGCTGACAGAGGAGGCTGCAAATTGACTGGCTGACTGTTGTGTAAATTCCTAATTACTTGTATAAGAAAGGTTTCTGTACTTGCAAGGTGTGAGGCATAGACCTTTTTATCTCTCTGGATTTTATTTTTTTCTTACTGAGGCAGTATCGCAGCTGAATGAAGTAGTTGACACTTTTGGTCTGTGATTCTGAGCTGTTGATGTGGGATTCTTTTCAAACAATGCTGGAAGTTGGGTCCCTGTCAGTGGAAATTATGTAATCACTTGATTTGGAGGAGAGAGAAGTTGCATTTACACAAAATCAGCATAACCTTCCTTTTACCTGGGAAGGGTAACTCCAGCCCTTACTGGGATGTTGGACTGGAAAAAGTAGGTAATGAAAGCACTTACATAGAAATCAAAAACTTAATTTCTAAATCCACTTCAGCACGTAAGGGAGCCTGAACCCAAAGTTCTACTTAGGGAAGAAAGTCCCCACCACTGAACTCTAAAATATTTAGAGCAGGTCTTCTGTTGAAGCTGTGTAATAATAACTTAGAGGATCAGGATGAAGTAAGAAGGAAGGTCCTCAGTTTACAGGGGAGAGAGAGACCCAGAAAGATGGATTGAAAGGTTTTTTGTATTTCTATAATTTTCCAAGCCAAAAGCTAATTACTGCATAATGATATTTAGGGATATGCTGATAACAGACTTCTATATGTTTTATAAAAATCTCTTCTAAAATCATCCTTGGTTTAAACTTGGGTTGCATAATGCACCAATGTTTTCAGGCAATATAAACATTTTTTAGCATTTTTTCAATGCTAAATTTGTCTCCTTTGCTGTTAATTTTACCTACTTCTAAAATGACAATATCTGGTTTATTTGTTTGTTTTCAGGAGTATGGAAATGACCAGATTACTATTATCAACCCTGCTCAGTTTCCTGATAAACTTTCAGTATCAGAGTATTTGGAGCCAACTGTTCTTGGTACTATTGTAACGCCTCCTGAATATATTGGGAAAATAATTACCTTGTGTCAGGTTGGTGTATAGTTTTAATTTTGTCTTTTGCATTTTTAAGCTCTTCACCTCATACTTAAAGTGAAGATACAAGATAGTATGATAGATATTACTACGTAAACAGTATCTTCGAAGTAATTATTGAATACTTTTGAAAGATAAAATAATTTTTAACATTTTATTTGTATAATTCTGAAGTACAAAATCCATAAATTGAAAAGTTAATGATGAAGTTCAGTGACAACAAAGTGCCTGGTCTGTACTAGACTAATTCATAGCTAGTTCTTTTCTCCTGAAAGAATGGAGTCTGCAGCAGGGGAATAAGATGTATTGGTATTTTTAGAAGTATATTCATGGGAATACAACTTCTGCCAACACTTCTGAATATGTGTCCATGTGCTTTTTTCAGTACTTCCCTGAAAGTAAATTTAGAATAGTGATGGCCAAATTTGCCTAACTGTATTTGGAATACTTCTAATTGAAAATGTTTTAACTGCCATGCATCTTGTGTTTATATTATTTCTTCACAATATTGTTCTTAGCTTTTAACATTCCAAAATGCATAATACAAAGCAGTACAGTAAAGAATAAAATCTCTTGCAAAGAATTTCTAAAATAACTTTTAAGAACACCCTCCTGGGAGGAAAGAAGATGAGCCTTCAGGTCCTACTGTGGCAGCAGTTAGCAGAAGCTATTAAGGATTTCAGGAATTCAGCATTAGTTATCATCTCTTCATTTGGTACAGTGTTGCAGTTTGTCCTGGGACTTCAGTCAGCTACCAATAAGAAAGTTACTTTGGGGCTTAAGTAGCTTGCTTGCTGTTCATTTTAATTTGCTTTGTATTTTTTGGTAGAAAATTTCAAGGGAAACTGAAACAATTTTTATTTGTCTAGGATCGTAGGGCGGTCCAGAAAGATATGTTGTACATTGATGAAAACAGGGTTATGCTAAAATACCTCTTTCCTCTGAATGAAATTGTGGTGGATTTTTATGATGCTCTTAAGTCTCTGTCTTCTGGCTATGCAAGGTAACTACCTCCCCTGTTCCCCCTTCTTCTCCTCCCACCCTGGACCCTGAAGGTGTGGTAAAAAAAGGCCTGAGGAACAGCTGTGGAAGGGCACAAAGAAAGAATATTCCTTTATGGTGGTGCTGCAAATCTAGTCTCTCTCACCTTGAATGGATTAGATTCACTGTGAAAATGGATGGAAATAAGTCTGAAAAACATGAAACGTATATCACTACCTAATAATCACTGTCTTTGGCAATGCGTGTATTTTTCAAGTGCACCCTTTGGAGTGGCACTGGCTCATCTATATGAGTAAGACCTAAATGGTCTGTCCTTGTCTGAAGTGACACTGTACAATTTTTTCAATGGAATCACTGAAATTGTACTACTTACTGTATGAACTCTCTCTTGGTGGAAAAAGGAAAATAACCACATTGATTATTTAAAGCTGGTAAAAACAATGTGGTATTTTAAACAAATGGTATTTACTTTACATACATACTTTATTATGTGAAAAAAGAAAATAATGTGTATTTTGAGACAGAATTTTCTGTTATGGGTGTCTGCTACGAATTCAGAGTCTAGTACAGTGCTCAGATGTTTGTGAAGAGCCTTTGTGAGTTTAATGGAACTGAAAATGCTGCATGGTGATGAGCTTGCGCCCCAGGAGGCTCAATTGCTCTCACAAACCTGGTATGTTGAGATGTCATTAATGGGATATGTTACACAACAGGAACTGGTATACCTAATTACAGTATTCATTTTATAAACATGAAAATGCATTTTATTGAAGGACTGAATTTGCTTTGAGTTTATGTTTTGTTTAATTATGTCTTATAAATGTAAGTGAGACATGTCTTGCCCAGGTTTATATGCAGCAAAAGCATAAACAAAAGTGGAGAGGCAAGGTAGAAGAAACAGAGGGATGGAAATTTTGAATTTCCTCTCTGGATCTAGCTCCCCCACTACATAAAACCTAACCTGTTTATCAAGAACCTATCTCATTAGCAGAATTGTGCTGGATTTCCTTTGATTCAGGGATGATTGCCAATGATGTTGCATTATCTCATTTCTTTATCAGTTTTTATTTCCTAATTGACTCTTTAATACAGCTTGTGTATGTAGTGCTCTCAGTAATCATATTTCTGATATATAGATCCATTCACACATTTGTGGTTACTAAGCCAACAAAGATAGAAGTACTTTGAAATAATCTCAAAGGATTATCCCCCCCCCTGCTTTTTCTGTTATTTCAGATTTGACCCCATTACAGTAATATTGATCATCCTCCACAATTATACTTACACACCATCTACCTATCTATCTATCTGTCTGTCTATCATCTGTCTATTGCATGCATCACCTCTAAATCTCTTCAGTTTTGAGAATTTTTGCTAACTACCACACAGACAGCAAGGTCCACACCTACCAAAGAAGAAATCTGGTTTGGAAACTAAATGAAAAACTTAATTGTCAGAGACGGTGATAATAGGGATCACATATAACGTTTGTCAAACAAGAGGATGAAAAGGAGACAGTCCTGGATTGGTGTTTGATTCCTGTGACGTTCAGGACAGTGAGTTCAAAAGCTGTGTCGAAGGGTTCTTTAAGACTGCATTGAGCATGTAGATTTCTAATTGCTCATTAGATTGGAAAGACATCCTCGAAGTCAAGATGACCTCTTTCTGCATTGGAGGGGACATTTTGTGCAGTACATGTCTAGTGTGAAGATGTACTGAGAGACAGACTACTAAAAACTTTACTCCCATTATATTGAAAAGTTCAAGTGTTTTATTAAGAAATATGTCTATAAAATCTATGAAACAAAGAATACAAAATACAATTTATACAATATCATGACTAATTTCCAAACTGCTTTTCTTTTTTTAGTTTTGATTATGAAGATGCAGGTTACCAATCAGCGGACCTAATCAAAATGGATATTCTTCTAAATGGAAATCCAGTTGAAGAACTGGCAACTATCATACACAAGTAGGTTTACTGGATTCCTTACTCAAAAGGAATAACAATGAAAATATCGTCTATTAATAGGACTTCATGATCTTACAGTCTTTTCTGACCTAAGTGATTATATGATTCTAAATGAATCTAGGTGTATGTGTTACAAATCTGTTTGAAGATTAGCATTTTAAGATTTTTCCATATGACCACCTTCATTATCACTGAAAAAGAAAATAATTTTGTAGTATGAAGATTAGGAAATAATAAAGAGCAATTTTTTTACTTCCCTTTCTCAGCTTAAGTTCTAGATATCATATTTTTGTGGAAAATGTAAGGCAGAGAGAAAGAAATGCAAAATGCCAATCTTCTAAAGGGCTGGAAAAATTTTAAGTGCAGACCATCTGGAAGATGCCAGATGAATCATTTATGATGCTTAATACTGACAAAAAAATGATTTTGTTCTCCCAGTAATTTCTGTTCCATAGAATTCTGTTGTTTCCTTGTTTCCAGACAGAGTACCAGGAGAATGTAAATATTTACTGTGTGCAATTACCTCAGATTTTTTTTGCTAAAATGAGTCCATTGCTATGAGCATTTCAGGCATTAGAGGTGAAAATAATGCCTTTCCTGTTTCTAGCCTGTCCCCTATCTTCTCACAAAGTTTTTACAAGGCTCCCTTCTGTAACTTCAGCATTGCTTTCCAATAATGCCTACTTTTGTGGGTTTTTGGTTTCCCTTCTTAAAATACTTGTAGTTTCTAAATATTTGTGTATTTTTTTACATAACTGCAGTCTTGAAATCCTTAGAATGCTGTAAGTCCAGAAGGCTGACATAGAAAATAAACCCCTTGCCATGTTCAGAAGGATCATGGGGCTAAAGGGGAATAAATGTCTTGCATACAGTTGCTAGTTAATGCATTTCTCATAAGCATGCAGTGTTCAGCAATCTACCTGCATCTCCTACTCTGAAAAGATGCAGAATGGAGTGGGCTCCCTTGTAAAAGTTAGTTATTGCTTTAACATGTATTTTTTTATCAATTTAGCTTGTACCCTCAACTGTTTTACTCACTAAAATTGACAACCTTTCTTTTGGTTTTAGATTTCAGTTGGGGTTTTTTTTTTTACAGCTCATATTTGCAGTCATTTTGCTCTTGCTGCAGGTATTCTCAGTCTTCCCACTGTAAAAACTGCATCTGTAAGAATTATGCTGAATTACATTTATAGAGAAAGAGATTACTGTAAGCTTGGTATTAAGATAGTCATCATTTGTTCTTACTGTACAAGTAAATATATGTGCCTCTTAAAAGTGTAATGCTCAATGAACATGACTTAACTACTTCATGTTTAAACTGTTTGTTCTATAGAGGTAGCAAGGAGTCACATTGCCAATACCTGAAAACATGTATGTTGGTAAAAATGTCTGCTAAATATGGGTATTTTTATATTTTAAGTATTATATATTTTTAAGCCATTTCTTTCTAAAAGTATCTGAAAGTATCTGCTAGTAGCTTCTTTACACCTTTTGGTTTTTTCTCTTTCCAAAACCTGAAGCATAAGCAGATGCTGAATTAGCTAGATAATTTTTATTAGCAGATGACAAGAGTATGTTAATTTATGTTTTTTCTTGTGATATAAAACCAGACTTTGAAAGCATTCTGCAATATATATATTTTGACTGCTTGGGCCTACAATCAATGAAAATTCTCCTTGACCTAGTTTAAAATTTCACTTGAAACTGTGGCAGTATTCAAAATGTCTTCATTTGTGATGGATAATCAGGGTGTTTTCATAAATACTTTATATGATGTTATATACTGAGGTTAATACAGTGTTATCACCTGTTAGTATGAAACAGGTGACATACAGAGACCACTGATTAGAAGTAAAATTTAATCTGATCAGCTTATCTTCTGAGTTAAGAAGAGGAAAACCTCTACTAAAATCCTTCAATCAAACAGTTTGATTTATGGATATATTTTTAGTGTTGCTAACTTTTTTTTTTTTTCAGTGATAAAGCCTATGCTGCTGGTAAACTCCTATGTGAGCGTTTAAAAGAGACTATTCCTAGGCAGTTGTTTGAAATAGCCATCCAGGCTGCCATTGGCAAGAAAATCATTGCAAGAGAAACGTAAGTCAAGCCTTTTTATTTCCCTTCTTTTTTTTCTGTCTGTATTTTGAGATATATAAAATACAGACTTGTGAAGTCTTACCTGGTTTTATACATTAGAGGACTTTGATTTTACTATAAAGTTGTATTTTTCTTGATACATGCTACTTGAAGAAAAAAACCATATTTGAGCAGTGACTATTGACTAAACATTTTGAATTAAATTTATACAAAGAAATTGTATTTTTATTTTAGATTGCTTGGGGTCAGAATTGCACTTAGTGTAACTTCCAACACATGTTCACTTCCTCTTTGGCAGTGGAAAAAGTTTCTTACTACTGAAAAAAATTAGCTAGTTGTGGAATACTTTGCTGTGAGAGTCAGCAAAAAAAATAGCTGATTTGTGCTGTTCCAAAGGAAATACGTTGCAGCTGAACACAAAAACATTTTCCTAGCACACACTTCTTCAAAGCACACTATTTCCTTGATGTGGTGTTTCTCACCACATTTTTCTGTTGCTGTTTAAATAGGATTTAAATAGTGGTAAAATAATTAAAGGTCAGAATTCAGGCAGAGGTCCTGTAAGAATTTGTTTATACATGTATATACACATGGATGTAACACTTCCTGTGAGTCATAGGAGAAATTCCAGATAAAAAGCCAAGATTGTGATTTCTTTATGTACATATTACATGTCCTAAGTGATGTTTCTAGAATTGAAAACTGAATTACATCTTCTGTTTAAAGCTTCATATTTTGTATACAAAACCTGAAAATGTTGTGATGCCAAAGTATCTTACAAAACTAGCAGAAAAACAAGTAACATTTTAACAACTCAAGTACTGAGCTTCACATGCTCACTGCTTCACAGTTCTAATATGTTAAGGTGTATGTGTTATTTTATTTTGCAGGCTGAAGCCTTACAGAAAAAATGTTGTGGCAAAATGCGTAGGTATTTTTTTCCCTTTTCTTCATGTTTCTGACATTTGTAAACTTTAAGAGTCCTGCTAAGATAATATGCCCATCTCTTCCTAGAAACCCAGCAAAGACATGCTCTGCTTGTGCTCCTAAGTGTCTGTGGAATTCTAACAGATACTTTTAAGCTTTTGTTGTAAAATCCAACTCTTGTAACCTCTTGTTGCAGCTTGAGGAGTGGATCAGATAAAGTAATGGCATTTTCATTCACACACTTTGAGTGTTTCATCTCCTCATCGTTTTCTAACAGTTGTAGGCACACAGTAAATGTGTGTGTGTGTGTACACAGGCATATAAATAGGTAACTTCATGTTTCCTAGATTGGTTTTCAGGTGTTAGAAGGAAATATAAATGCTTCTTTTGAGACTTGATTGTGATTAAACTTCTACTTAGGTTTGGAGTAATACATTGTAATAAAGCTTTAATGTGCAATAGTTGACTAGGGACAAGATTCAACAAAGCTGTTGGAAAACTGTGACACCTCTTATTTAGCTTGGATTTAACTCTCTGAAGTGAACATATTGGAAAATATTAAACAAATGTCCCTTTCTCACAAGTGCAATAGAATTCTGCTAAGCACAGCTGTGGGATGGTGACTGTTCAATACTGTACCAGGGTTTAGGTCATTTTTCTAGATGTAAGCACCTAATGCTAGTCAAGATGTTACAGTGAATCTGAGCTGGTACCCTGCTTCTATTCCAAGGGGATTTGGATCTAATGTGTTGTCTAGTGTCAGCCAGGCTTACAGAAATGTATATATTTAGGTAACAGAGTTTAACACTCAGTTGTCCAAATTAATGTGTTTATTTGCTTCCTTGTTCTTTCTAACTAGTGGCCTTTAGGCCAAACTATTTGGAGTATAAAGTAATATTTTTGTCAAAATATGACCAACGTTTCTGACTATTTTTAAACACTTGAGTTTTGTGTGGTTGGAATGTACTTTAGCTGCAGTTGTAGTTTACACTTAGTACATTTTTTTTCACAGTATGGTGGCGACATTACAAGAAGAATGAAGCTTCTGAGGAGGCAAGCAGAAGGCAAGAGGTTGATGAGAAAAATTGGCAATGTTGAGGTTCCAAGAGATGCCTTTATACGTGTTCTAAAGAGAGAAACTGACAAATAGAGATCAGTGACATCTGATCTTCCAGATCATGTCAGCTTTTTGCAGACAGTAGCAAAGTGAGCTAATACAGGATTTATCACTGTGAGAGGGAACATACTTGACCTTAAATGGTATGAATTTACTATGTGTGGGAAGATGAATTGACTTAAAAATGTACATATATTTGTAGATTATTACGAAATTAAAGTTACTTGACTGCATCTAAAAGTTCACATTATATTGTTTTTTCATTTTATTCCGCTGTTTTCTTACTTTTAACACTTAAAATGTACATAATTTTGGGTTTTTACATTGCAAGTCTATATATAGAGAGGAACCATATGGCAAAAAGGTTATAGAAATCATTTAAAGGTATGTATAGACAAACAATGCTGTGTTGTTTTTTTTTCTTTTAAGGTTTGAACTGTTGACACAAAAGTATCAAGCTGTTTCCTGTTTCACTTTCTCTAAAGTTGCTGTTGTCAGGAAATTGTGATGCTGGGAAACCACAGATGAAAAAATCAAAACTTTAAATTTACCACGCTGTTTATTTTAAATGAGTTAAAGTGTGTAAATTTACCATTAGTTCAGCCTAGCTGTGCTCATCTCCAGGGAAATGATAAGTTTTCATACATTAAAACACGGGATCTGTAACTGGTCTACTAGTAAGGCCTTAATTCAGGCCTTAAAAAAATTATTTACCATGAAGGTCTGGTTATAGCATATCTTGGTGTAGTTGATAAAAGTTTGTCAGTGCATTCCCCGTTAAATGCTGCAGTGTAGTGTGCGTAACATGAAGTGTTACTTTTGGAAGTGTTCACAAAGCAATTATAAGTTAATGACCCTACTATATACTGTATTTACAACTCTTTACCCACTTCCAGAAGCTTTTAAGGTGCATTAATTCTTTTAATCTTCAGGGACTAGTTTTGTTCTTCACAAATCTTAATTTCGTTATTATATATTTATTAAAGAATAAATTGCTAGTCATACCTACTAAAGTACTCAGTCACCAGGAAAGCCTGCCCTTAAATTTAGGCTTGTACCTACAGTTCAATCATAAACTAGTTTTATTTCAGCCTGTGTACAAGGAGGAATTGGGAAAATCTTTGGAGGGATAGAATGGAACAGGACATGTTCCCTTTCAACCTGTATTAGTTTCAGAGTGTAGAAAAAGGGGAGAGGGAATTCTGATACTTTAATGGTTTGTTGTGGCTTTCTTCTCTTTGGTTGTGGTTGTTGTGTTTTGGGCTTTTATTTGAAGCTGTTTCAGGTGCACTGAAAAACCAAAGACTTGGATGTGAACAAGGTACCTTTATTCAAGGCACCTAAGCTGCTGCTACTGACCCTGAGAAAGGAAGGATGCTGTGGATAAAGACTCTCTAACACATTTATTATTCCTCCCTTGTAAAAGCTAGCATTTAAGGAACTACAGCTGCAGAGAGCTAGGAGCAAAGGAGCTACAATAAGGTCCTCCCCACTCCTTGAACTAGACCTACAAGCACTGGTCCTATACTGAGGAGTAAGGCAGAAGCTAAAGATGAGCTAGAGATTATTCAAACAGTGAATTATATCCTTGTTGAGTGATACACATCAAGTGTCTGTTACCTAATTAAATGAGTTACATAGATGGATAGAGCTGCCTTGAGAATCTGTTTTAGCTTTACTATAGTCACCTGAAGCAGAAAAAAAAATACAAATTGTAGTCTTAATTCTGATAGGACTTGTACATATATCAGTTTTCAGAACAAGTACTTTAAATGAACTGGTCAGTACCTGTAAAGTACATGAAGTATTGGTGTTTGACACAAATGTACCTGATTCTATCTATCTAGTTAGTTTTCCATTTCCCCCTTTCCTTTGGAAGTACCTTAAAATGAGAAAAAGAATAAAATGGTAACCTTAATGTGCTAGGCTAACTTAGAATTTACTTTTAAGACCGCCTGAACTTGAAAATGCTTGCTTTGCCATTACTGCAGAGTAACAGGTTAAATTTTATGCAATCTGAAGGGTTGACTTGCTCTTAGTAGTGGACAAGTTTGGAAGGTACTCTCCTGAACAAATGATATTTCATAAAATGATTGGAAATATCTTAAGGAATGAAATAATGGAAACAGTGTGGTAATTAAAAAAATTACATAATATAGGACTCAAAATTAAAAAAAAAAAGTGTAACAAGAGAAACAAGCTGGAAAACAACCAAAAACTGTGCATTAAAAGAGGCAGTAACAGTCCCAGACCCACTCAAGGACAGACAGGTTCTGCTGTACCATATTTAAACTGGCCTGTGTTTCACAGAAGGTCGAGTAGTTAAAACGGGAGAAAGATACTAATTCTGTGATCTGGCACATCTTGAGAACACAGAGGGCTTTAGTGAATAAGGGTGCCAAACAAGGCACAGGACTGAAAAGTGTGCTGGAATGAAGAACAAGAATATTGTTTCAATAGAACTAGCCATTTTGGCACGTGAAGGATAATGATCATCAAGATGAAACCTGATTCAATTCCTTTAATACTAACCTAAATTCATTACTACTTTTACTTTCATGCTTTTGTAATAGAATTGTTTATAAACTTGCTTAGCTGTAAAGGCTAATAGCAAACCTAACACTGCATTTTGAGTCATATATACCTGTAACAGCATTCTTCTGAAAGGCTTTCTTCTGAAAGTATTTTCAACTTTTTTCCCCCACAATGCTGCATTATGCTTCAAAAATATACATGTGCATAAACCGAGCCTTACAGCTGAAAACCTGTTTTAAGTGTGCAGATGTTCAACACTAAGCCTGCCTTCCTGCACTACTACAGACAGATTCTTCCATGTTTTTGTAATTTCACAGAATCAGAGAACAGTCCATATTTGAAAAGATCCTGTAAGACCATTTATGAGAAAGGTGAGCCTAGATGAGCCTAGAAAGCAAAGGTGAGCCTACGACATTCGCGGGGAGACAGTGTGATTTTGTAATAAAGACTACTGGGTGAAAAGTTAAATTGTTGAAGTTAGCTTAGTTGTACTTTCTTGCAGTGAGTATTTTCAACAAGGACTTTCTCAAAAAAGTCTTCATCAGTAAACTCCTATCTTTCTCTTTTGGTGCCTAATCACTCCCTGAAATTCTGAACTATTTACTCACAATAATTTATATTAGAAATGAAACAATTTTGAAACTAATAGATTTATATATTTAAGTTTTACTTATATTCAAAGTAGGAAATAACATTCCTTGTAACAGCTCAATGTTTACAATGATACAATGAAAAAGTGATTAACAGTTGGCTTTAAATGATCATTTGCAGACATTACAGTCCTGTAAATTAAGCTCTTTTCAGGCATTTAATTGTAACATCAGTTATATAATTGACCAGGTACCTCCAGGAAGGAACGCTGAGATTTCTTCCTTATGTATAAAGCTTGATTACCAAAAATATAAAAATCCTAAAGTAATTTGAAGTATATGAGAGGAAAAAGTGCTATTATAGAAGTTTAATATTTTTATCCATGGAGCAAGTTGTAACTTCGAAGAATTTGGTGCATTTTTAGGCACTGTTTTTTTATCTTCATTTGCCCAAAATATACAGCAGGACTTGAGATGCCCAAAAACTGTTTAAGACAAATTTAAGGCAACCAAGTGCAAAAGCTCAGTGTACATTAGATATATGTAAACAGAATATTTCATAGTAGAAATTGTACAACTATTACAAGTCCATAGTATTAGCAATGGCCAAAACCATTCTGCCTAGAGACACAAATGCAAAATGTAGTTACACTAACCAAGCCAAAAATTAAGAATTCTGGGAAATGAAGTGTCATCATCTCTAACATGAGGCAGATGCAGTACATTGCTGTGCTAGAATAAGTGCTCTTCTGCTTTTCCCCTCTCTACATAACGTGCAGTCTGTCCCAAGTTTGTTCTGTTCCATTTAGTGATGTACAGGCCAACAGCGGATCTCCAAATGTTAAAGCAAAATGCAGAACACAGCAAACAGATGGAATGTGAATGTACAGATATTGGACCTTTGTAAAAATACAGTACCTAGGATTTCCCATTTTAAACAGTTTTCAGCATATTGCATAGCAGTGAACTCATCTGCTACCTAAAACTGTTGCTGCTGACCCACATGGAGCTCCTCTTCAGTCTTCTTTCAGTTTTCTTTCATACTGTACAGTGGGTCCACAAGCTTATTGTGCACATGCATTAAACCTTGGGGGGAAAGCAACAATGCCAGCTTTACATTAGTTGTATTTTGTTCACACGTTCTTCTATCCACATTTTTATTTGGAATTTGCTTCAAAGTATACATTTTAAATAATTCATTGAAAAGAACAACAATGGCTATTTAAAGCAGTTCAGAGTCAGAGACAGCAGATATATTCCTTTTCACTTGCATGCTAATAACATATACAGTATCAGCTGAGCGGGGACCAGACAGTTCCCTGATAACAGACCCAAAAAACACATCTGGAATACTTCCAAATGAATATATCTTTCGTGTATTAAAACATGTGTAACAGCAATGTAATTCCCTCACACCAGAATTTGCCATAAAAATCAGATGCACACAATAGAGAGACTTTGACAGCTTGAGTTCTTTTGCAATGTTCTAGCATTGTGGTAATATTGTCTTTGTAATAATCACGTACTTGTGGTCCTAGACAGGCAAAATCAAATTAAATTATCCAGACTCCTAGTGCAGACTCAATTTCAGCAGTTCAACTGTTTTCTGTTCTAGCCGGGCTATTTCTTCTCATATTCAAGTCCTCCACAACTACAATTAGGGGACTTTTTTTTTTCCTCTTCAACTACTTTAACACTGGAAAATGCTGAAGTGCAATTAATAAAAAAGATGCTTCCTTCTTAACTTTGCTCTAACTTAGTAAAAATGTTACCTACATCTAGGGGTGTATGACATTGGATCACTGGCAGGTTTTTGACCTCATTTCACCTTGAGGACTAATAACAGTAATGATCAGTGTTCACAGTCCACAAAGTAAAAGTCCATTTTAATATTGAACTAAAGATTTAACTTCTAAAATTAAAATATGCAACACTAAAAGTAATTTTCTTAAAAACCATGAAAGAAATCTCACATTACTGCATATTTATTATCTACGGCAAAGAATATTCAAATACCTCTGCTACATGATGCAGCTGGTAGCAACCTTGGTGTCACTGCAGCAACGTGAAACTTGTGTTAACTGTACAATCTAAGGTCATTACTGTAGGTGACCATAA